ATACATAGGCTCTTATTTTAAGCTCACATTTAGAGGCACATTTAGAATGCCACATTTAGAGGCGTAAATAAATGTGCTAGTAACACAACTAAAGTCAGTCGTATTCTCATCGCACATTTATAGCGCCTCTAACTTAGAGATACATTTATGACTACCGTGTTGTATATCATACTTATTATGCGCATACGGCACTGTGATTGGTCTTCAAACAGTTTATTATATCACGCGCCATGAGTTAAATTAGTAAATTTCATTTCGATCATATAATTGTAACAACATTCTTTAAGGCTCCTGAGTAGTCGCCGCGGCCATATTGGAATGATGACGTCAGAAGCGAGAAATGACACGCTGAGAATTCTTGCTTGCCATTTTTAAATAAAAAGATATTTTAAAGAAAGAAGGCTACAGATCGCTTTAGTATACTTGTAAAATTGTCCGAAAAATAAGCTTTTCCTTTGACAATTAATAAATAACCGTAAAATGAGTGTCAAAGTAAGCCTAGTCATGCGGGAAAATATGTGGTTTGATAACTGTCGAAAAAAGTGGAAAATGTTCTTTCTATCTACATAGTACTTTCCTTGCTAAGCTGGTTTTCGGACATTTTTATAAGTTTCACAAATACGTTACACATCACAGCACTAGCATAAAGCGAATAATTACGAAATGGCATGCAAGAATAATTTGGGCTGTCAAGACGTCACTTTTCACGCCTCATAGTTCATCGATTTGCAGCGTGAGGCGCGGCATAATAATTTTTGACATGTGGGTAACACGCTGGTAACTTGTAGCTAAAGCTAGTTTTCCACGATGCGATTTTTCGTGCAAGTTTACTTGCGAGGAGCCCTGCCAGCCACAGTGCAGGCTACGCAGCGAGAAAAGTTGCTTGCTGCGAGTAGCGCTGCGTGTAGCGCTGACGGTTTTCATTGATAGAACGAGTGCTATTTTCTCTGCGTATTTTGTTGCTAGGCATTGTAAACAACCAATGAGAACTAGCGACTAGATCATGTGACAAAATTGACATGATCTTGTTTTTTTTTGGTTATCATTGTGTGCCATTTTTTCATCCAAAGTCTTCTTTGTCGTCTTTTCATGACGGTTTCTTTCCACTTCTAAAATTAGCAAAAGAGAAAGTGCTCCTAAACTTTTCCTGCGGACAGCGTCCATTTTTCAAAATTTTTTTTTGAGGAGCAGCGCACAAATTATCGTCCGTTCCATCCGCTGAGCTAGCTTTGCACCTCGCTCCGTGTGAAGCGAAAACCTGCAGCGCGCCCAACTTAGCTTAATGCAATGTAAAGTGCAGGGCAACAAGCAGCAAATCATGCATGCTATCCAACACGAAAAATCGCATCGTGGGAAACAGGCTTTACACTATGTCATCTGTGTACCTTGCTGGAAAACATCCTTTGTATATCTTTATATAGTGTAGTACCACAGATTAATAGACAGATAGCCAAAGGCCCGGACGAAGGCGAGACCAGCATTTCTCACTGGTTTCAGCGCCATACGTAGTAGTGGCCAAAGCAGTAATTACATTCCCAAGGTAAAGTTGCGTCGTTAATACAACGGTAATAAATTTTCGAAGTCAAAAGTCGCATCGTCCTTCCATTTAATCAAAAACATTAAAAATTATTTACATTAAAATTTCTGTCTTTCTTCAATATCCACTTATAGTGTTTTGGAAAGCTCTCGAGATAAGCTACAAGAACATGCAATAAAAAAAGGGGGGTTCCATTTTTGACCTTCAAATGACCTTGAAAATGACCTTTAATGTCAAATCCAAGGTCACTATTAGATAGCCCCCTTTGTTCCCTACAACTTTTATTCGAGTCGTTTTCCTTCAAACATTGATCCTGAGAAGTTATGAGGGTGGAACTTTTAAAATGGGACACCCTGTATATATAGGGTGATCCGAAACAAATATAGCGTCCCTGAAAGATCGTATTCCTCAATCAATTCTACGACGATTTTTCCTTTACAAAAATTTCGTCTGAAGCTTAGTTTTTAAATTATAAAAGGAAATAGTGAGCGAATTACGGGACGAGTACAGAAGGTAGGCAGGGCCGCGTTGTTATGTGATGTTAAAGTTAGCTAATCAGCGTCTGTCTATACAGCAGAAAGCCGTCTCGCTACTCCGACCCCCGTCGTACCTTCTCTGTTTTCCGTAGTAGACAGGCGCTGATTAGTTAACTTTAACATCATATAACAACGAAAAGAAAGCTCAGATCAGAAAATGGTTCAGGACTTTTCGATTTGAATTGTTGTTCTGTATCTGATAGTATTGTCCATATGCGTTTGTTTAGTTATACCCAGTATATATTTGTGTGTGTGTGTATGTGTGTAATTTCTTTTATATGTGTAAATATATCACTTAAAAATAATAAAAATAATAATACTTTTATTGTTTACTAATATATTTATCTCTCTTTTACAAATTTTCATAGTTTCTCATCGGCCGCTTGTCGGCAACAAGCTTGTAGCGAACGAGATGAGCATTGAAAATGAGCAAAACGAATATATGAATGCAAGTAAGACAATACAGGAATGAGACAATCACAGAAGCAAGCAAGAGGAAAATAGCAACATCCAAAGAAGATTCGAAAATCGAGCCTTTGCCGTCCTTTTTCTTACTTGCTCTTATTATTGTCTCGCTCGTTTCTGATAATAAGACTGATAATAATAAGAGTAAGCGAGACAATCATAGGAGTGAGCGAAAGAGGAATAACAGCATTCATAGAAGCTCGATCTTGATCCTCGAATCTTCTTTGCACGTTGCTATTCTCCTCTCGCTCACTTTTGTCATTGTCTCGTTCACTCTTATCATTATCTCAGGAGCAAGCGAGACAATAAGAGGCAAGCTTCTCTCACATTTCATTCGTCTCATGATGAATTAGTTTGGACTCGCACCAGGGGCAAAGTCTGTTGATAAAATCAAAGGAATTTAGCCTGGACTCGAACCAGGGGCAAAGTCTTTTGGTAAAGTCAACGGTGTTTAGCCCAGACTCAAACCAGGGGCAAAATGAGTCGGTAAGGGCCAAAGTGTGTTGCACGGAAATGCTGGTCTCGCCTTCATCCAGGCCTTTGGCTATCTGTCTATTAATCTGTGGTAGTACTCTATTAGAAGAATACTTGAGCAAAGGAATAGGGCGTAACCATAGACATAGAAAATATAGAGACCGAGCATAAACTCGTGGTTTAGGCGAGGAGAGTGAAGCCACTGGGGGACGGTGCGACGAGGTAAACTGTGCCTAAATTTGATTGGCTGTTATATTGCGCAAGTTCATGTCAATAAATACATTTCTTACATTAATGAGATGCTGAGCGACAAAGACACATACATTACTGTTAAAAAAAATCCAATCAAAAAAATCGAATCTGACATTAATAACATGTTAAAAAAGTTCCTAGATAAAAAATACATTTCTATACAATCATACCATCATCTTAGATCAAGTGATGGCTTACTTCCAAAAAGCCTACGGTGTTCCAAAAATTCATAAAACAGGCTATCCGTTACGCATCATAGTTTCCTCCATCAATAGCCCATTATACGCAATCGGTAATTTTTTGCACAAAATCTTAAACGACAGTTTACCACAAGCTTGCGGCTATGTAAAAAACAGTTTTCAACTATTTGATTGCCTTTCCAATTTAAAGATAGATGAAACTAGTAGAAATAAAAAGTTGTAAGTGATTTTTGCTTTTGATTGTAATATTGGTTTATATATAATAGTAATGTTATAAAATATTGACAGATAATAACTGACTATGCATTGCGATACAAACAAATTTTACCAACATGACGTTCGATTTCATATGTGTAAACACAATGACTTCACTTAAAATTCAAAGCCAATGGACCACATGAGGAGCACATTAGCGACCGTTGATAAAGGTGATGGATGCCATATATACGTTGTATTAATCAAACCATGAGGTATGATTGATCTTGCGCCAGGCGCCTTATTGTTAATTTTTTGAGTGGCTGAGGAGACACAAGTAGAGTGTCAAAACGTCCCACAATTTTTATGTAATAAAGTTAAAATTAAAACCATATTGTTCATCCATATATTGCTCGTAAAGGCCTTATTTATTTATTCATATATTTTTTTGTTAAATTATAACAAGCCTACTTTTAATTGTTATTAAATAATAAATATTAAATATCACATGTTTAATAATAAACATTAAATATTATAATTCCATGATTTTCTGCGCTTGGGGTTATCGTAATGAACCCATTTTTCGTCCCCAGTCACAATGCAATGCAGAAATCCCTTCCGTTTTTGCCTTTCAAGCAACTGTTCACAAGCAAACAAACGCCGTTCAACATCTCTCGGTTTCAACTCGTACGGCATCCAATTTCCTTGCTTCTGAATCATTCCCATGTCTTTGAGGTGTTTTGAAATTGCTTGTTGAGTCACTCCCAATGATCGTGCCAATTCTTCTTGACTTTGACTCGAGTCTTCATTAAGTAATGCCTCCAATTCTGCATCTTCGAAAACCATCTCTCTTCCACTGCTATGCCGGTCTTCGACGTGAAAAATCACCGTTCTTGAAGCGTTGAAACCACTCACGACACGTTCTTTCACTAATAACGGCCTCACCATAAGTATTTGAGAGCATTCGATGAGCCTCAGCCGCAGATTTCTTCATATTGAAGCAGAAAATTAAAACCTCCCGCAAATGACGAGAATTTGGCTCGTAAACTGACATTTTCAATCGAGAATAACTTTATGATGCAGAAACAAATTGACTAATGATCCTATGGGGTTATGTTGACAGATGCCCAAGTTTATTGCATGACGTCTATGATCTATTTATTTCGACCACTACTTACCGCTAAAGCCATCTATAGGAAAACGGCGGAAGCAAAGTTGTACACCTAATATTTCTGTTCTGAATGTACTAGCCGACCGCCCACCCTGAGAACTCCCTTCGTATCAAGAAAAGGCGCAAGTTTGAGAAGGTGCTGGGAGATCCCTTTTCCCTTTTTCATTTTTTCAATTTCCTCGCCAAAACACTGATATTGTACGAATTACTAAAACTAGTAGTGCCGAATGCAACTCGATTTGATCTATTGCCAGGGTGTCGGGTACCGACCTGATTCTGGCTTGGTCTATAAATCGCAAACAATACGCAACGACGCGACAAATTTTATCTAAGGAAGAGAAGCGATCTACAAGAGCGTCAGCCATATTGGGAGAGTCGAGCGAGATAAGAGTGACGACTTTCTTCTCTTCCTCTGGCAGATTATCCAAACTATAAGCTGGTTCCGCTCGGGGCTCAAATTTCAGAAGCCAGTCAGGGCCATGCCACCACATTGAGTGATCCATCAGTTCGCGGGAAGATAGTCCCCGGGAACAGCAATCCGCGGGGTTGGATTCGGTATCGACGTGGTCCCAAGAAGAAATCACCACGTTTTTCTGTATGCTAGCAACGCGATTGCGTACAAAAATTTTCCATCGATGAGGAGATGAGCGAATCCAAGAAAGTGCAACCATCGTGTCAGACCAGGCATGCTCCGCATCCAAACTGAGGCGTCCTCGAAGCGCCTGTTTGATGTATACTATTAAACTGGAGAGTAACAAGGCCGCGCAGAGTTCCAACCGGGGCAGGGTGATGGACCGGAGTGGGGCCACCTTGGACTTGGCACTGAGCAACCAAATGATCACCTCATTCCGAGTGACGATACGGAGGTAAACCACGGCGCCATAACCCTGCTCACTAGCGTCGCAGAAACCATGTAACTCGCGCCGAATGACGTTAGCAGCGGCCAGTGAGCGACACAGGCGAAGCGGAGCCAATGCGCCGAACTCGGATTGGTAGCATTCCCAACGGTGGCAAACGTCTGCAGGAGGGTCGTCGTCCCAGTCTAATTTCAGTGTCCACAAAAGCTGTATCAATCGCTTCGCTGTAAACGTAAGAGGCGCCAAAAAACCAAATGGATCGAAGATACGAGCCAGTTCTGAAAGGATAGAGCGTTTAGTACAATTTCCACTTAACGGATTAACTTGGAATCCGAAACTATCCGAGTGGGAATGCCAACGAAGGCCCAAGACCTTTTGAGACTGATCCTCTCCTGGCTCAAATGACAACATGATGTGATTACATTGCTCGGGGTCAAGGCCATCCAGCGCCGCGGGATGACTGCTTGCCCATTTTCTAAGCTCAAAGCCGGCGCTTCGGAGTAACGATTGTAGCTGGCCTCGAAGCGCGCGGGCTTCTTCCACTGAACGGACACTGGCCACGACATCGTCCACGTAGAGAGACGAAGTTAACGCGGCGAAAGAAAGAGGTTATTCCGAATGTGACTGTCCTGAGGATATAGTGAAGGATAGGATCCGAATCCGAAAAGCGCCAAACAATGCGCTGATAGTCACACTGTGCAGGATTGAGCCAAATCTGTCGAAACATTTGCTTGACATCTGCAGTCAAGGCAACCAGTTCAACATGACATCCGAGCAAGATAGCCATAATGTCTTGTTGGAGTTTCGGACCGTTAAGCAGCGCTTGGTTCAACGACAATCCGTTACTGCACTTGGACGAAGCGTTGAACACTACACGCAACTTAGTGGTAGTGCTGTCAAGCTTGTATACGCCATGATGTGGCAAGTAGTAAATATGTCCGTCCGCCGGGAACGGTTGGCGCACTAATTCCATGTGACCACTATCGAGATAATCCTGCATAAAACTGCAATAACTAATTCTGAAGTCGTCATTCAACTTGAAACGGCGCTCAAGCGCGCGAAGTCGACTATCAGCTATTGATCGCGAATCGACAAAGCAGGGAGGATCCTTCGCAAAGGGATACGAAACCACGAAACGACCCAAGTGGTCACGCTTAGTGGTCTGTGTGAAAAATTCTTCACAACGACGATCCTCTTCCGAGCACAAGGCGCGATCCGGAACTTCCTCTAACTGTCAAAATTTGCCCACCGCAGTGTCAAGCGATTCAAGGGTAGTAACGAAAGAGTGCAGGGGTTGTATGGTTAATGACGGGGAAACCGCGCCCATTAGGACCCAACCGAAGATGGTATTAAAGGTGTCCGACTCCCCCTTTCCCCCCTTACGATGGCCGTCACGCATCACGGATACAAAGGCCTCTGCTCCAAGTAAAACATCAATCGAACTAGGTAAGTGATATTCGGGGTCCGCGAGCGGCAACCCTTCCAAGTGCTTCCATGGTTTTATCTCGACTTTATCGTTAGGTAACGGCGATGCAATTCGCGTCAGGACAGTGGCTTCGACAGGAAAACAAACTTCATCGCGACCCCGCACCCGGATTACGAACGAAGTAAGACCTCTCGTGGTGGTGGCCTTGACTTGATTTACCGCCAAGACCAACGCGCGATGCATGGTCCGACTAAACCCACCTCGTCGTAAACAACTCTCCGTAATGAAGTTCGATTGACTCGCGCTATCTAACAGGATGCGAACAGGAAAGGCGTTACCATAAACGTCGAGAATTTCGACCCGGACGATAGCAATACGACACGGGAGTTCGAAAGGCTGGTCATCGCAACCAGCAGTTGACTGTTCGGTGGTGGGGTGGCCATCACCGAGTCCTGCGCTGAATGAGTCCGAGTGGCGGAAGCGGCCATAGGAGGCGAAGGAGCGCGCTGATCAAAATGTAAGAGCGTATGATGTTTCGCCTGGTAAGATCAACACGTCCAGGCAGAGGAACAGCTCTTCAAGCCATGACCCGTGCGAAGGCAATTGAGACATAATTTTAAATCCCGGGCAGTAGAATGCCTTCCCTTGGCCGAAAGTTTCAGAAAACGAGGGCATTTCGCAATATAATGTTATTCTTTGCAAACGGGACAAGTTGTGAACTGGGTCACAAATGACGAAACCGACGCTGGACGTTTCGCCGGTTGACCTTGCAATTTCGATCGGGATGTGGTAATCGACGAACCAGACATTGCCGCGAAAACCTTACAATATTCCAGTAGAAACTCCGTTAGTTGCTCGTACTGCGGAATCTCGGCCTTTCGATTTTCCGATTCGAATTTTTCCCGTAATGAAGGAGTGAGTTTGTCCAATAAGATATTAAGTAGAATGAAACCCCACGACTCGGTTGGGAATTGCATCAACTTCAACGCTCTCGTGTTCTCGTTAAACGTGTCTAATAAGGCGCGCAGAGCGTCAGCCGAATCCGTTTTCAATGGTTTGGCGTCAACTATCGAGTGCCAGTAATAAGTTGCTAACTTGCGTTTATTTTGATATTGTCCGATTAAAGAGTCGTAAGCAATCGGATAATGATCCGCGGACAATGGCAAGTTCTTCATGACGTTAAGTGCCTCTCCCGTTAATGAGGTCAAGAGATATTGATATTTCTCTATAGCGGAAATTTGCCGATTATGGTGTATGGAGGTGTTAAAGAGCACGATAAAGGAAGGCCAAAGTGCGAGATCCCCGGAAAAGAACGGAAGCGAAATCTTAGGCAGTCTTATTGTAGGAGGAGGATTTTGAGGCTGAGAGGAAGAGGCGGTTGCGAGAGGGTTGCCCGTAAGTGCGTAATATTTAGCCTTTACGCCGTAGTACATTCTATCGAACTGAGCGCGAATCTGATCTTCGGTATCAAAATCAGCGGCCGCTTCTTGAATCAATTTTAAGTGTACAGTCTCAAAATCTTCTACTATTTTAGCTACGCCGAGATAGCGAGCAAAAAATGTCAATTTTCCTTGTGGGTCGGTGTCGGTACGCACGGAGGCATTGTGTACCTCATGCATTCGACGAACGCACAATTCCCGTTTAGTTTGCGCGGCTTTTCCCATTGTAATTAAACGGCAGATATCAGCAAGGCTCGAAATCAGAAAGGCGACGAAATTAATCGGAGTAAATAGGAAAATCAAAGGAACGAGGAATGCCTGCTTATCCCGGAATGTATTTGCTACGCGAAATTCGAGCAAACATACACCGTGAGGCAGTCAAGAGCAAGCGACACAAATAATACGCGACCTTTGAAAAGGAAGAAAAAAACGAAAACACCGCTCTGCTCGACAACGATGGCGAGTAACGGATGGCTCGAATACAATGGAATGTTCGAGAGAAAATTATATTATTGGCGTAAATAGTCAAAAGAATGCCTATGTACTAATAGCGTGGCAGGCTCATTAATTGAAGGCGATTAGCGATAACAGCGTGCACGGCAAGCGAATGAGTATGCGCGAGTATTTTCTTCCGAGGAGCGAAGCGAAACAAGAGACTATGACTATACAAAGAATATCGCGCAAACTATAGCTTAACACGCTAAAGAACAACGTTAAGGCAATTGACTATTACAAGTTTAAACAATGTAGCGAATTCAAGGCGCGAATTTCTTCGGCGGTAGCTAATTAACGCGATGTAATCCGGCTCGAAGGACCAATGTTAGGGATTGCCGTGGGCAACTCCCGCGTGGTCGAAAGCGAAAGGAAATTCTCGAAGGACCAAAGGGAGGGTATCCGTGTCCTCTCTTAACGCGAAGCAAGCATTGCGAGCGATAGGCGCGTGTAGAAAAAAACAAGACGGATAACGACTAATATAGCTCACCACACGGCACGTACCTCGTTATCTGGAGCAATCCCGTCCGTCCTCGTCAAGGCTGGATCCTCATCTTCCAAAGCATGCAAGGCCAGGCAAAGCAAACAAAGGTAAGCAGTAAGCGGCTCGAGGCAGTCGGTCGAGCATGCACAACGTCCGGCTCCCCGTGTGTGTAAGCGTCTCCAAGAAAATTGGTGTGACTCCGAGGACGACTCATGCAAGAAGAAGCCTCGTAACGCATGTCGTGAACGAGCGCCCCCTTTTGCTCCCAAAATTTGGTAAGGGCTACCGTCGACAGATAGGCGATGGCAGCACCGATAGGTGAGTTACGCAAATTATCGAGCAATCAATCCGATCGCGATCCACCAACGTTTCGCGCGAAACACAAAAATAAAAGACTGCTTTTAATTAATTGCCGCGAATAATAAACATTACTAAATCTTATGGACTAACTATTTACAAGGAAGGCCGTGCGCCAAACCTTTATATACTGACGAGCAAGTTCAAGCCATAGTAAGTCGCATGCGCGAGCAAATCTTAACTGTAATCGCTAGATTTATTATCGATTTTCTAGACGGCAATTTGGATATAGATCAACTAATTGCCCTGCTTGAAAACCCTGAAGACCCTCAAAATTGAATATATCTAATTGCGCATGCTCATATCCCTAGGACTAACATCCAGTAAAATCACTTTAGTAAAAGGTTAGTTCTATGCCTAACGTCATTTCCCTAGAATCCACCAGATCAGTCCTAGCTCTCGGCGTCCCTGGGGTATAGCCGGTGGAAGCAGATTGCTCTATAAAAATAGAGAGCTATCCTTTTTTCACTAACTGAGGTATAGTAAGAAAAGAGCATCGTCGAGACGTAACATTCGACATTTTTAAATTTTGGTGGCAGCGGTGTGATTGCCAAAAGGACTGATAAGGATTTTCCCGAATGAAAAGGTTTCGGAATCCTTTTCTCCTATTTAAAGAAATATTCCTTTTTTGTGTATTGATAAAGAGAGTGTGGTTTCAAGACTATTTCTTTCAAAAATTACTTATGCGTATAACCATTATAAATCAGTCGTGTTATTAGCGTCAATAATCATTTCCGACTGAACGAGCTTTTATTTAACATTTATTCGGCATACAGTGATATTCTAAAGTGGCGGCTTTGAGAGGTTCACCCCGCTCGCCGTTACGGAAGAATTTTGTGAATAATATCTATCTTGTGAAGAATATCTGGCTCTGCGACAGCGGCTCTGAGCGGGTTCACTCCTCGCCGCTCGCTGTAAGCTCTCTCTCTAGTGAGGCGACACATTGAGAGTAGTGAATGCAACGTAGACACCAGTACGTAGATTATTTTCCAAATGCCAAGGACTCGCCGTGCAGGAAGGAAAAATCAAATAAGACGATTGATTGCTCAATTTCATTGCGTTTCTCAAGACGCTTCCTTGTCAATTGCTGATATTGAAAACTATCGCGACATAATCAAAAGGACACTGTTTTCCTTCCAAGATCCCCTTTTTCCTCCCATAAAATTACTAAACCTAATTAATAATTCAGATAAGCCTAAACCCATCAAAGCTAAACCCACTAATTACAAACTAATACCAATTGAATTTGAATATAAATATCCTGATTATAGAACAATCAAACGCACAGATCCTCGTCACAAAATCTACAAATTCGCGAATTATTTGGTTCAGAATAAATTAACCAAATATATAAAGATTCAAACTTATAAGATATTTTCTAAAACAATATTACAAAAAAAATTAATTAGTAACCATGCATAACACACGATCACAGAGTTCTAAAGCTCTTTCTGAAACTAGCGAAACCTTAACACATTCTGAATTAGAAATCATTAATCAAAAATTAGATGAAAAAGAAAAAAATGCTCAAAGAACATGCCAAACAATTACAAGCCAAACAAGAAGAACTAAAGAAGTTACAACACGAAATCGAACAAAATAGAAATGCGAATTCTGGCAATAATCAATACGAATCAATAATAAAAAATTTGTATGAACAAATCTCACTTTTAAGTTTTTTGCCTGAACAAATGGAACGATTAAATCAACGCATTGATAATATCCAATTTTCTAATCCACCTCCTAATCAACAAACGAATTATCATACTGATCCCCCTTCTACACAAAATCCCCCTCGTAGTCCGAGCCCCTTAGATGCAACTTTCCCGATCCGCTTTAAAGACGTAGTTGACTCTATCCCTAAATATGATGGACATAAAATGTCAGTTTTCTATTTTAGTAAAATGTGCGAACGGGCTCTTGAATTAATTCCATACTACCATGAATATCACTTGGTACAACTAATAACCAATAAATTGCAAGGCCTTGCCTATGCCGCTATAGAGGGCATGGAATACAACACCGTTTTCGAATTAACAAGACGATTGAAACAAATTTTTGGTCTTAACAAATCAGTAGATCAATATCGCGGTGAATTAGCGAATATCTATATGAAACCGAACGAAAACATCTTCGACTATATAGAAAGAGTAAAAGAATTACGCGCGGCCATAATTGACGGAGAAACTAGCGCCGGCGGATATCTAGATAAAATTACAAAAGATAATATTGAGCTTACCGTAACCACAAGTTTTATTAATGGCCTTTCTTCCGAACTTTTAATTAGAGTTAAACTAGAAGGATCTTATACGTTCGATAAAGCTTTAGTGTCCGCAATACAATTCTCAAAAACTTTAGAAGCAGAAAATGCGCGTAAACGAGCCGCACCACCTTATAAATCTAATATTCCCCTTCGCGCTGATTTTCAAAATAAATCAGGACCGTTCCAAACTACAAATTTTCCGCGCTTCATTCAATCACATTCCCCGCGAAACAATGCGACCCCTTTTATAAGACCACTCATTCCGGGAATGCCTGGACCAAATTACCCTATTGTAAAAATCTGTCGCTATTGCAAAAATCCCGGACACCTTATAGATGAATGCCGTAAACTCGCGTATAGAAGATCCGTCGAGAATAACCCATCCACCTCACATCCTAATAACAATCATAACAATCCGGAAACGCACAGAGCGTTCCGGTAACGAACGGCGCCCGCCGGAACGACATTCAAACAATGCGCCCATTCCCTCCACAACAAGCGCCAGTAACTATCGCACTACCCCAAAACTCGATTCCAACATCGTCGCCCGCATAGAACGAATAGAAAAAGAAACAAGATTCAATAGATTACCTTCTGTCACCCTCTCCTCTCCAGACCTAAATACTAACTGTTCTTTTATGATTGATTCAGGCTCTGAAGTTAATATTATAAAACAACGATTTGTTAAGCAAAATATAATTCCAGATGAACAAGAAACCTTAACTCTTCAAGGCATATCTTCTGAACCAATCTCTACTATAGGTTCCATTACCATACAATTACTCAATTTACCCACTAACGTTCATATAGTTCCCGACACAGTCGGTTTCCCTCAAGATGGTATTTTGGGAAATATGTTCTTAAAAGAACGATTAGTTAACATAGATTACAAAAATAAACGTTTGCATTATGATAATTCGAGCATTCCCTTGTTTGCGATTAAGTGGACGCGCGAGTGAGGAGCGCTTGGATTCAATCTCGGACAACGACGGGACGAACGACTTTAAACTTAGACAGGCAATTTAACGGCACAAAGTTTAATAAACGAGAACAAGAGATACACTATTTATAGTTATTTACAACAACCGCGCGGTAACGCGATTGCACGTTCCGCGAGCAACGGATAACGCTTTTGAGCGAAATGCGCGAATCGAAATTTCGTTGTCCGCGAGCAACGGAGCGAAAGAAGCAAATTCAACGCGGAAACTTTGCTGGAATTTAGTGCGGGTTTTCTCAATTTAAAACAACGTGCGTGCGCTTACGACTTTATGCGAAATGCGAGTCGCTTCTTCCGCATGCCGCTTTTATAATTGCTTGCCCGTCTGGAAGAATCTCGTCGATTCGAGAGACTGACGCATCTTCCGGTGACAGTTTTTGTTGAACATGTTTTGTCTCGAACTGTTTTGAGATTCTTCTTGAAGGGCGATAATTATTATTGTTTCCGATGAGTCGGTTATTACCGGGCCTTTTGCTTGGCCGCTAACTGGCGGCCCCGGATTGGGCGCCAGTGACGTGAATTCACGGCGCGCTGATAGGCGCTTGGTGGTGATTAATTCGGAATCTACAATTCGCGCGTGCTGCGCCATGACTCGTTTCGTCATGACGCGCGGCAATTACGAGTGCGCCTGCTTTCTCTCTTTATCGCGCTCTTATAACAAGTCGAATCGCAAACATCCCGCCCGCCTCGCCTGGAGCCCTTGGCGAATTTGTCCGGCCCCCGTGGCGCACCCGGTGGCGCGATCGGTGCGTTTCTTTCGTTAGACGTTGTAGCGCACGAGTGCGTCCGATTAATAAGTCCGCGGTTGTGAACGAAGGGTGCTTCGATGCTTTCGATATTGCAGAGTGATGTGACCCCGTGATGTGCAAGATGCTGACGTGCGGCGAGCGACGGAGAAAAGCCACATGCGGCTTGTGACGCAGGTAAGTCCCGTACACGTGTGATCGAGACTCACATTGCGGTTTTTTTTCTTTCTTTAGGTTTGGGTCGGTCGGCCACGCGTCAAGCAGCTGATCCGTCGAGGGAAGAAAAGGCAGCAGCGCGACGGACGGTAAGCGATATTCGTGTGTGTGAGCGCATTATTACGTACATTATGGGTGTGTTGTCTGCGCGCGCAGTAACTTATATTTAATAAGGTAGCTATATATTAACGCATTAGGTTATGAATTTGACTACTGTTGTTAACAAACAAATTTTTTGGGGGGGGGGAATTAAACTGGTCGCGCGTTATTCCTCCGCAGGATTAAAATCGCTTGCTGGGAGTAGAATGATTTTCGCAATCGGACGCGTCAGCTCGGACGATGCAGTGCGAGCGGTTATCACGCGGACCTGCCCGTCGTCTCCAGGATGTATCTTGGTGATTTGCGCTAGCGGCCAGCGCGTCGGTGGCGTGCTTTCATTCCGAAGGAGGCAAAGGCGGCCAATTCGCACTTAGTCGTTGGCGGTCCACCAACTTCGGCCGTTGGAGGAGGGAATGCAGATACTCTTTGGACCATCGCTCCCAGAAGTGATCGCGCATTCTTTGCAGAAGATGCCATCTGGTCAGCCGTCCTGGTGGCATCTCGGCGTAACTCGGTTCAGGAACCGCGTTGAGGGCCGATCCGATCAATAAGTGTCACGGAGTGAGGGCTGCTAGGTCATCCGGGTCATCAGACAAAGCCTAAAGAGGTCTCGAATTCATGCATGCCTCTATCTGTGCAAGAAGAGTGATCATCTCTTCGAATGCAAGCAATGTCGCATCGCCCAACACTCGACGGAGATGATGTTTGAGTGACTTCACGGCGGCTTCCCATAACTCGCCGAAATGAGGTGTCGATGGCGGGTTGAAACACCACTGAATCCGGTCGCCGGCTAACTGGTCAGCGATCCGCCGCTGCTCTGGGTTGCTGGCGGTGAAAAAAGCCCGAAGCTGAGCGTCGGCCCCGACGAAGTTGGTACCGCAGTCGCTGTGGAGGCTGCGGCAAAGCCCGCGGCGTGCTGTGAATCGCCGCAACGTCGCCAGGAACGCCTCCGCCGTGTAGTCGGAGACGACTTGCACGAGGTGCACAGCCTTCGAGCTCAAGCAGACGAAGACCGCGAGAAACGCCTTGTAAGCGCGGTGGCCGCGCCCTTTGGTCGTCCTTAGTTGAAGAGGACCGGCGTAATCCACGCCGGTGTGGAGAAATGGCCGCGCGGGGGTCACTCGCGGCCGCGGCAAGTTGCCCATAATTTGTTGCGGTGTGGCCGCCCGCCATCGCACGCATGTTACGCACCGCTTTATCACGGCCTTCACAACGTGTCGTCCCCGGGGATCCAGTATTGCTGCCGGACTGCCCCGAGAGTGAGCTGTACCCCACCGTGCAGCGTCCGCCTGTGGCAGGCCTCAACGATGAGCCGCGTGAGATGTGAAGAGCTGGACAAGATTGCTGGGTGCTTTTCGTCAAATGCCAGAAGAGCATGTTTAATTCGTCCTCCGACCCTGAGGATGCCTAGAGGATCTAGAAAGGGAGTCAATTTGGTAAGAAAGTTTTTGTTTGACAAGGATGTGCCTTGTTTGAGCGTCTTTATCTCCTGGTTAAAATGCTCAGCTTGCACTTTTTTGATCCAGGTAAGGCGGGCATCGTCGCACTCGGATGCCGTGAGAGAGTCGGCTGCACCCGGCCGGTCCTTTGTTGCCGTAAGAGATCTCTGAAGATCGTTGCAGCCACTGCCTGCACCAGGCCGTCACCCGTAACAGGCGAATCCAGGAAGAGAAGCGAGTGAGCTCGTCGGGCTCGGTAAGCCGATGTTGCTGCACCGCGACGGCGTGCGCCCTCGCTCGTTCTTCCGGAAGGTCGTCAAGTGCCTCGGCAAGAGATGGCATCCACGAGGCTTTGTCTTCTCGGAGCCATGGTGGGCCCTGCCACCAAAGCGGATGAGACACCAGTTCGCCCGGAGAGACTCCTCGTGATGCACAGTCCGCGGGATTGCTTGATCCCGGAAGATGGTGCCACTTAGCTTCCGGCAAGGTCGTCTGGATCTCGGCGACCCTGTTGGCCACGAACGTCTTCCACCGCGACGGATGACCGGGAATCCAACCTAGCGCCACGGTGGAATCGGACCACAAGTGAAGTGGAATGTCCTCCTCGTTGAAGGTCTGCCGCACGTGAGCTGCCAAGCGGATGAGCAATGTTGCCGCGCACAGCTCCAGGCGCGGAAATGTCACCGGTTTGATTGGGGCCACCTTGGTATTAGCAGCGACCAATTTTATTTCCGCCCTTTCCTTGCCGATGTTAGTCCGAGCGTAAACAACGGCCGCGTATGCCCGTTCGGACGCATCCGCGAACCCATGGAGCTCCAACGCTGCATCCATCTCTTTGAGCGGTACGAACCGCGGAATGCGGATCTTTTCCAGCCTTTGAAAGTCGGCTTGGAACTCCTGCCAAAGTCGCGTGCTGGCTTCATCCAACGGAGTGTCCCAATCGACGCCTTGAAGCCAAGTTGACTGAAACAGAATCTTTGCACGAGTGATTGTGGGAGCCAGCCATCCCAAAGAATCGAACAAGCGGGCCGTCAAGGATAGAACAAACCGCTTTGTGAAGACCAGCATTGCAATGGTCATGGTGGAAAAGGAGAAGCAGTCCACCCTTGGGTTCCATTGGAAGCCGAGTGTGGCGTGAGTCTCTTGCGACGTCTATGAGAGCAAGTCACGCTGGGCTCTGTGTTCCGCTGGAATGTCGGTGAGCAGGCTTGGATCGTTGGCTGACCACTTCCTGAAAGGGAATCCGCCCGCCAAGCACAGCTCCGCCAGTTGTTGCTGCAGTTTCCTGGCCTCGTCGAGAGAAGGAACGCCAGTGAGGATGTCGTCTACGTAAACGTCCTGGCGCAGAACGACTGATCCTTCGGAAAAGTGCGTCTTCTTGTCGTCTGCGAGCTGTCGCAGAGTGCGTATCGCCAAAAACGGGGCGCAAGTTAATCCATAAGTGACGGTGTTTAGCACGTACTCCGTGACACGGTCTTGTTCGTTGTCACGCCACAAAATTTGTTGTAGGTGCCGATCTGCCGGGTCGATCAAGATCTGGCGGTACATCTTAGCGACGTCAGAGGCCAGAACGTAGCGATGTGCTCGCCACCGCAGCAGGATGTCAGCTAAGGCGGGCAACAGATTTGGGCCAACGCGAACATGTTTGTTGAGGCAGTCCTCGGACGCGACAGTCGATGACTCATTGAACACTCCCGCAGCTTTGTCGATAAACTCGCGGCACGCAACACTCCATGATGTGGGAGAAAGCACGCGGGTCCTCCCTTGCTCGGCGATTGAAGAGCGGGAGATATGTGCCCTAGGACTTTGTACTCCCGCATGAAGTCGCGGTAGAGCTGGCCTAAAGGATTGTCATGTGCGAAACGCCTTTCCATCTGCCAGAGCACGCGAGCGGCGGAGCACCTGGTTCCTATAAGATCCGGGAGGGGCCCTTTGAGCGGCAGCCGAACCACATATCTGCCACTGGCGTCGCGGCGATGCGTTTTTGCGTAATGGTCTTCTGCCTCGCGTTCATCCAAGGAAAGTGGAGCTGCAGCAGGACTTATTTTTTCCTGCCGCCAAAACCACTGTACCAAGTCAACTAGATCGTTCTCTCCATGACATTGGAACGATCTGGCGCACTGGATGGTTCTCATCCTGCCGACAGTGCCCGATAATATCCATCCTAACCTTGTTTTTTGTGCCACAGGTTCCCGCGATCCTCCGCGCCGCAAGCCCGGTTAGAGGATGTCGGCGTAGACGTCAGCGCCAAGAAGAAGGTCCATCGGATCAGCGGCGAGAAACTTCGGGTCGACAAGCTCCAGCCCGTCGAGATGCTTCCACGTTCCTGCTCCTGCACGGGAGCCGCCGCTGTAAAGAGTGAGCCGCGGGAAAACCAGCGCCGACACCATCATCGGGGACCCGCCGCTGCACGCCGAGATCTCGAGATTGATTTGGCCTCGGGCGACTCCAGTTATTTTTCCACCGACGCCGAATATCGACACCGAGGTAGGTGACCGCGGAATCTGCAATCGCTGAGCCAAGGACTCCGCGATCAATGACGTCTCGGAGCCTTGGACGACCAGTGCTCGCGCGGTTTGGAGAATGCCGAATCGGTCAGCAATGAGAACGCGCGCGGTCGCGAGGAGCACGGCGGGCGCGGGTTTAGCTGCTCGGTTCGCGGCGTGCGAGGACTTGCCGACCACGTCGACTCGGCATGCATCGTGGAGAGTGGTGCGATGGCACGACGAACACGTCCTTTTCGATACGCACTCGCTCTCTCTGTGTCTACCGAAACAATTAAGGGGATCCCAAAGGGTCTGTTTTACCGATAAAAACTTTATTTTGCAAAATCTTTTTTTTTTGAATTCGTGAGCTGGTTGTTATTTCACACTAGATGCAATTTGCATGTGTGTTAAAAAATATATGCCAGAGGCGATCAATTCGTGAGCTGGTTGTTATTTCACACTAGATGCGATTTGCGTGTGTGTTAAAAAATATATGCCAGAGGCGATATATTATTCTGTTGCGATGGAGACAAACAATGTATTATAAATGTTTATTACAAATATATAAACATTTATGTATACGAACAAAAAAAAAGACAATATAATATATATTTGTATAAATAATACATTGTTGTTATATATCCATTGATTATATCGATTGAAAAAAATTAGCTGCGTTGCATAGATCGCAACTTATAGAAAGTCACATGATAATATTCAGAATATATGTATATATATCATACACATACATCTGTATACGTCTATGTACATATTATACATATACATATATATATACACAATTATATATATAACACCTAACCAAATGTTATTCTTCTTGGAAGATATATGGAAGACACATAGCCCGTATGAACAATGTGAAATTATTTTCAAATATGTGATAAAGGCAGACACGTTTATATTATACTGTTATCTATACGCTTAAATACGCTTAGATATGCGTGCGAGGCAATAGAGCAGTAGAAATACACGATGTTGTCCGATTTCAACATATTGAACACAATTCTCTTTCAAATATGCATAGAACATGCAAAAATATTCATATCGGTAACAGCGGAACTTATATTATTGATATTATCGATAATTTCGGTCGATATTATCGATAATTTTAGTTACGCTTGGATGAGGGCGCTAACCCGTCGGAGTTTGGCCGTCACTTTTGGATCCCCTTAAAGCACTGGTTGTTGGCTTCGACGTGTTGTTTTCTCTCCACCGTGGTTTTTGCCTTGTAGCTGTCGCAGAACATAATATAGTGCTCCTGCTGGCAGATAGAACACCGACCTCGCTTTGAGTCCGGCTTGCGAGCGTGACGTACGCGTATCTGCCGCCCGGAATTTGCGCTCGAATTCGCGAGATTGTTCTCTGGCTTGAGAGATTGCAATGACTCGAGAGTATGCAGTCGTCGGTCCAGGAACTGCTGCAACGCGGAGTAAGACGGCGGCTCAGTGGAATCGCTTAGCGAATTCTCCCATTCACAACGAGACCGAGAATCCAGGAGATCGACGATTAAGTGGACGAACAGATCCTCTCCGCGCGTTATCGGTTGTCCTAAGCTCTCGAGCGAGCCGGCGGTACTCATAACGCAATGATAAAGTTTGCGAAGCTCGCTTGCCAACTCACCCTTTATCTTCTGAAGCGCCGTAAACCGGGAGATGTAGGAACGCACCAGGAGACGCTTGTTTTCATAATAGTCTGTCAAGGTCTTCCACGCGCGCCCAAAATTTTCATCCGTTGTTGGAAGATTGCGAATTAACAACTCCGCTTCGCCCTTTAGACACGTCTTCAGATAGTGGAGCTTTTCCACTTGAGTAGTAGAAGCGTCCTTTGCGATGAGGGAGTGGAAGAGGTCCCGGAAGGACGGCCACTCTTCGTATAGCCCGGAGAACTGTGGGAGTTGGATTCTCGGCAGGGTCGTTCGCGACAGCTGCGACGGCGCCGTGCCGACGGCTGGAGTCTCGGCCCTATCCGCTGCCCTGAGGCGTCAAAGCGTGTCCAGGAACATGCCCTTCTGGATCAGGTAAGCCTCCTCTGCTAACGCTTGCACGTCGGTCTTCACATACGTGCTTTCGGACAGGGCCTCCCAGTGTTCGAGAAGTTTGTCGTGCTGGAACTCAAACTTTGCCCAGTTGGCTTCGAGGACTTGGAGTCGCGCTTCCGCCAGCCCGATTGTTATGTTGGCGATCCCCGACTTCCGCAAGTTTTCATATACGCGGGCGATGCGTCCGTACAAATCCGACTGCGAACGTACAGTTGGATCCTTGTCCTTATTCATTTTTGTCCTTCAGGTGAGTGACGTCCGGAAGAGCACAGACGGAATCACTGCAGGCACTGCACTCACTCCACGCACAGGCACCGGATGGCACGGATCCGGCTCGAAGGTCCAGCAAATATTTGCGATTAAGTGGACGCGCGAGTGAGGAGCGCTTGGATTCAATCTCGGACAACGACGGGACGAACGACTTTAAACTTAGACAGGCAATTTAACGGCACAAAGTTTAATAAACGAGAACAAGAGATACACTATTTATAGTTATTTACAACAACCGCGCGGTAACGCGATTGCACGTTCCGCGAGCAACGGATAACGCTTTTGAGCGAAATGCGCGAATCGAAATTTCGTTGTCCGCGAGCAACGGAGCGAAAGAAGCAAATTCAACGCGGAAACTTTGCTGGAATTTAGTGCGGGTTTTTTCCATTTAAAACAACGTGTGTGCGCTTACGACTTTGTGCGAAATGCGAGTCACTTCTTCCGCATGCCGCTTTTATAATTGCTTGCCCTTCTAGAAGAATCTCGTCGATTCGAGAGACTGACGCATCTTCCGGTGACAGTTTTTGTTGAACATGTTTTGTCTCGAACTGTTTTGAGATTCTTCTTAAAGGGCGATAATTATTATTGTTTCCGATGAGTCGGTTATTACCGGGCCTTTTTCCCGGCCGCTAACTGGCGACGCCAGATTGGGCGTCAGTGATGTGAATTCACGGCGCGCTCATAGGCGCTTGGTGGTGATTAATTCGGAGTCTACAATTCGCGCGTGCTGCGCCATGACTCGTTTCGTCATGACGCGCGGCAATTACGAGTGCGCCTGCTTTCTCTCTTTATCGCGCTCTTATAACAAGTCGAATCGCAAACACCCTTTTCAGAAGCAATTTATATTCATATTAGTAAGCGATCTGTCTCACCATTTTACGTCAATGTTACTAATTCTGAAAAACAATATGGATATACCGCGTCATACGTTAATTGAAAACGTTTATTTTGGAGAAGCAATCGTTACCAACGTTAAGGGCAAAACCTACTTACCTATCCTTAATACTACTGAACACGAATATGATGTAAGAATCCCTCTATCGAATTACTAGATTTTGACTTTGTGGATGCGCCTGAAGGATCCATGATCCCAAGCGATGTTGTTAAAGCCCGAGGGAATGAGACGACCAATGATCCTTTTGAAACTTCAATTTCCAATATTAATAAAAGCAATGATTCTAAAAATATCACTGCAACCTTAGGGCATCCAGTGATCGATAAAATCCAATGAGTTCTGAAAATAACCATATCGCCACGGCCTTAGGGAC